AGAGAGAGAGAGAGAGAGAGAGAGAGAGAGAGAGAGAGAGAGAGAATCTGTTGACAGAGGTGACATATCAGCTTGACCTCCACATGTCACACAAGAAAACCTACTTTGGCACCTGGATGAGAAAGAGTAACCTCCTAGCACAGGTCTACTGTGGAATTTTTAGCAGCTGGTTCAGGGTGCCAAAACAAAAAATGTTTAGCGATTGTAGGCCTCAACATACAACACAAAGTGCAGAGTTGTGCAAATAAACACAGGAAGTTAACACTGTTTTAGATCCAGACTTCCATTTGTGGAAGGAATTGAGGCATAGTGGAAGCTCCCTGTTGGAGGAAGATGCTGGGTGTGTAGCACCTCCTGTGCAGTTCCAAAGGGCCCCCTGACCCACCCCAGAAGCACAGGCAAAGATCGGCCACATATACCGTGTTTCCCTGAAAATAAGACACTGTCTTATTTTATTTTATTTTATTTTGCTCAAAAAAACACATTAGGTCTTATTTTTTTAATGTACAAAATATACATTTAATGTACACCAGGGGTCTCAAACTCAACTGACCTGGGGGCTGCTGGAAGTAGAGTCTGGGTGAGGCTGGGCCGCATCAAGTATTCCACCCCTGCTCATCCCGCGTCGCTCCCGGAGGCCGGTGGCACTTTGAAGGCCACAGGGCCCCTCCCCTGTGCCCCCCCCCGTCCCGGCAAGTGGCCTGCGGGCCGTGAGTTTGAGACCTCTGATGTACACCCTTCTGCTCTGCACTTTTCTGCTGTGCACCCTTCTGCCTGCACTTTTCTGCTCTGCACCCTTCAGCTCTGCACTTGGCTGTGTACGCTTCTGCTCTGCACCCTTCTGCTGTGCACGCTTCTGCTCTGCACCCTTCTGCTTGCACTTTTCTGCTCTGCACCCTTCAGCTCTGCACTTGGCTGTGCATGCTTCTGCTCTGCACCCTTCTGCTGTGCACGCTTCTGTTCTGCACCCTTCTGCTCTGCACTCCAAATGCTGCCAAAAGCTGTATGCATTGATCCTCTCCAGCACCTGCTACCAGTACTGTCACAGGCAGCGGAGGAAGCAGAGCGGCAGGAGCCGATGCTTGCTCTATAGTGCCAGCTCCTGTGACTGGTGGAGTGCATTTGATATCACTCCGCCCTTCACAGGAGCCAGGACTATAGAGGAACTATCTTCTTAAGCCGCTCTGCACTGCGCTATGCCCTCTGTACCCCGCTGGCACTCTGCAAGCAAGCAAAAAAAGTAAGACCTATTACCAATAATTTTTGGTAATAGGTCTTACTTTCAGGGTAGGGCTTATATTATAGGACCTACCCCGAAATAAGACTAGGTCTTATTTTTGGGGTAGGTCCTATTTTCAGGGAAACCTGGTAGATATGAGCAAGGCCCACTCCCAATCTCATAAGCTTTGCTGTCTTCATATTGTTTTAAGACACTACTGTATAAACATCATCGTCATCATCATTTAAAGCATTTTTAAGTAATTGACTTCATCATATCAGGTTTCAGGGTACTATGCTAAAAGTAAAGAAACAGCAGATAGCAGTTTAAAACATTCTTAAATCTGCTCAGCTAAAACAACCGCATGTCATTCAAATGCTGGTTTGATTTCTGACAAATTTCTGCCTGGTACTTAAATTATACCAATCTTAACAGCTGATTTTTATTTTTATTTTATTTTGGTGGGGCATTTCAGCAGCAGGGTGTAACTAGAAGTAAAGACCAGAAGTGAAGACACAATCAGTTTGGAATCAGCATGATATGGGTAGACTTAACGGTCCTAGGCAAAATTCTGGCACCCATATTGTGTTAAAAAAGAAGTTTCAAAATCCTTGAAGACAGCTACTGGTAGAGAGCCAGTGTGGTGTAGTGGTTAAGAGCACAGGACTGGGTTTCAGGGAATCCGGGTTCTAGTCCCTGCTCAGACACGGACCCACCTGGGTGACTTTGGGCCAGTCACAGCCTCTCAGGCCAACTGACATCACAGGGTGGTTGTTGTACAGTAAGACTGAGAGCAGCAAGAGGAGACTGGTGTAAGCTGCTTTGATTTCTTTAAAAAAGAAAAATCTAATAAATCTAATAAATAAAAATATAAAAATAATCTATATCTAGATTTAGAATATAAATGTAATAAATAAAAATAACACATTGAAATTATCCATTCAGAAGCTGCTATATCTAGGAGTTCCATCCCCACAACTGTAAATCTGCTCTCTCAGGGAATCTGTAGCCCCTTACATCATCAGCCCAAACACCGTCTCCCCAGATGCATCTACTCATACCATCTGTGTCTTGTCAGGATCCAGTTTCTCTCTATCTATCTATTAAAAGCTTTTCTAACCCGTCCATCACTAGCGTCTCAGGACAGCTTGCAATAAAAAACCTTTATTGACCTTTGAGTCATTACTAAATCTCAGCACCAGTTCAGTACTTCTGAAGC